TTTTTTTGGGTTTTGTTTTAAAACGTGAAGTCATGCTACTTCTATTGCAGTATAGAGTTCAATTGTGATGATGAGCTATTTGCCACTGCTGGAGTTTCACGGCGTATAGAAGTTTTTGATTTCTCTTCGGTAGATTTCTGCCCCTTTTGCCTATATTCTCTGTACCAATTGCCTTTCACACTGCAAATATATTTAATGGAGATTACAGCTATTGTAAACATTTATCAACCCACATTTTAGTTAATTGCCTTTTCCTTCCCACATTACGATTTAGAAGTTTATTATGGTGATCTGGAAAATATGCTTCTGTGTTACAGGTTGTAAATGAACCTAAAGATGCGAACCCTGTTGTTGAGATGGCAACACGATCTAAACTTAGCTATCTAAGCTGGAATAGGTTCATGAAAAGTCATATAGCTAGTAGTGATTACGAGGGAATTGTAACTGTATGGGATGTATCTACACAGCAGGTAGGATTTGGCCCAAGCATCAATTATTTGTTGAAATCTAATAAAATTTCATAAAGGCCTATAACTCATTTGCAAATACCAACTTACTAATCAACTTTTGGAGTCATTCAGAGTATAATGGAATACGAGGAGCATGAAAAACGTGCTTGGAGTGTAGATTTTTCCCGAACAGATCCTTCGATGCTCGTGTCCGGTAGTGATGACTGCAAGGTAAAGTGGCAACACTTCTCTACTGGTCAAATGGAAGTGACACCTTATTTCTTTCTAATTCTTGAATTATTATTGTTATTATTATTATTTTTTCTCTTTTGGGTCCGAAGGAATGGTAAAATTTGTGGAAGTAGGTATAATAAGAGACATGCAAGGCTAAAAAAATCTTATTTGTAGTTTCTTAATGTGCCTTTGATATGAAGAGAACACCCATTGAAGCTCTTGGGGTCTTCTCCCAAACAGTTGGCACAAGAATAAAAATATATTTTTGATCATTCAGCATATGGAGACCTGGTATAACCTGTAGCCCCGGACTTTGTGGTAGGACATAAGTGCAAGGAGGTGCTAGGAGTTCTTAGTTAGGGGTGTGGCTTCTACGTTTATGATAACATGTTTATGATTAATTATTGTCTTCCTTAGGGGGAATAGTAAGGGATTATTTGAACTCGCTACCCACCTACCATGATCTTTGATTGCTAAGACGCTGTAGCGTCTCTTTAAACCAGCTTGACTTTTACCTTAAAATCAAATTATATTATATATCTATCTAAAAGAATCATATTTGGGTCTGAATGCGGACATGTCCGAAAAATAAATTAAAAACTCAGACCATTGTCGCAAATGGTAGAGGGGGATGCATGTCTCACCCCCTCGGCTTTCCTATATTTCATGCACCAATTTCTTCTTTATGCCCTCTACATATCTAATCTCGATTAAGAACCCTACTTGATTACAAGTTACGGAAATTTCAGGTCAAAGTCTGGTGTACGAAGCAAGAAGCCAGCGTCCTCAACATTGATATGAAGGCAAATATATGCTCTGTTAAGTATAATCCCGAATCTAGCAATTATATTGCGGTAATGGCCTTTCTGTCAACCTTATCCAACTTCTATCTTTACCTTTTTCCTTTTTTTTTTTTTGGGCAAATGAACTGAGATTCTTTCCTCAGAAGTGCCAAAATACCTAATATGGGTCATTTACATTCTGCAGGTTGGTTCTGCAGATCATCATATCCATTATTATGACTTGAGGAACACTCATCATCCACTTCACGTGTTCAGTGGCCATAAAAAGACGGTTTCTTATGTAAAGTTTCTTTCTGAAAATGAGCTTGCTTCTGCATCGACAGATAGTACCCTTCGGCTATGGGATGTCAAACAAAATACTCATGTAAATTTCATATTCTAGCTTTTGTTTCATAACTTAAACCCGTTCTGTACGTGATTAATATCGTACTTGATACAATATATTTATGTTACGAGTTTATGATGGGTTGTTTTCAGGTTCGTACATTTAAAGGGCACACGAATGAGAAGAATTTTGTGGGCTTCACGGTGAACAACGAGTTCCTAGCTTGTGGCAGCGAAACAAACGATGTGTTTGTCTATCACAAGGTAGATACTGCAGTTCCAGTTTTGTCCAACTCATCCTTTTGTGGTACAGATAATTACAATATCGTCAGTTTCAGAGCATTAAACAAAATAAACAGCAGCTAACTTTGAAAATTACTAGAACCATCCTTTACCTTTAGATTTGTTACTGTATTGCATTTTAACCTATCCATTAGCTGACTTTGAAGGCTGATTTAATTTTCTAGCAAAGTCTGGTCTTCAACTTTTCAGAGAAGTACAAGTTATCATACCTTTTCATCTAGCCATTTTTCTATATTTTGAAGAACTGGGGGTTGTAAAGATTATATTGCAAGGCAGAGTAGTGGACGTTCACAATATTTAGATGAAATCGAGGGATGTGATTGTGTAGATATTTGACAATCTCTGCAGTTCCCCTCAGCTCAAGTACTGGCTTGTGGGAAGTATATAAGATGGGTATTACCCTTTAGAGAGGCTTTGTTATTTAAACATTGTTCCTTCATAATTTGGTCAAAACCTGGATAAAAGTTTGTGTTGTTTCAGCCATTTCACTTTTCCATTTATTTAATTTTACTGCACTTGAAATTGAGAAAATCTAACACGATGAGTCTCAGGCTATCTCCAAACCTGCCACGTGGCATAAATTTGGATCCCCCGAAGCGGAAGATACGGAAGAAGACGCGATATCTTACTTCATAAGTGCAATTTGCTGGAAGAGTGATAGCCCCACAATGTTAGCTGCCAATAGTAAAGGAACAATAAAAGTGATGGTCCTTGCTCCTTGAACTTTTTGCACACATGTCTCTAATATACACAACTATATGTCTATAATTTTGTACATACTTGTTTGCATGCATTGATGTGTTAGTGGTGTGGGTTCGTGGTCATAGATCATAATGAATATTAATAGTCCTTTAATGCGTTTTGTGATTGTATTGCATGCAGCCATGTAAATTAGGCATAACCTGAATGGGATCAAACTGGAAAGTTAATATATATTGCCTTTTGGTGTAAAATTGACAGATTTTATCATCCCTTCATAAATTGACTTAGATTTTAGACTTTATATTTTGCCTCGTACATTATTGTGTAAGGCAGACTGGAAGGCCTCATGCAGTTTTGGAACTGCGGTGAAAAAAGCTGTCCGAGAAGTCCCGTTACAGGTTTGAAGCTCTCTCGCATGACTGTAAATCTATAAGCTATTGAGATAATTACAGCCATCAATATTGAGAGTTATTTTATGTATGGTTTGCCATAAAGTAGTGAATGGCAACTTTTTTCCCTTACTAGAAGCCTATAGCTGTCATCTATATCTGAATTCTGAAGTCACAGAAAAAAGGTAGATACTTTTTTTAAAGCTGCTTGTCTGAATTGGTGCAATTTCTAATCTAAGCTCAAGAAAGAATAAGTAGTGAGATGTAAGAACATTAAACAATAACTTTTAGTTAATCCACTTGAAGAGGTTACAAGTTGTTTAATTGCTAAAATAAAATAATGCATGTGTAGGATGTAAACCATATGAAATACCACATAGAAGCTTGATTAGTACCAAAAATATCAGAACAAGTAACATAGAATCTAACAAAACAACAATAGTCATTAAGAAGCAAAATTAAAGATTGCACCAAACTGCTTGATTTCATAAACCTAAGTCATATGCTTGGCTATAATCTTGTTCTGGTTTCTCAACCACAACTGTTGCTCGTACAATACACTTTGCTGATCCACATGAGAATCACTATACATTGGCTCACTCGAAAACGAATAAGGCACCGCAAATGGGTCGTTGCTCGCCAATTGTGCGCCGCATGACATTTGATGATTGTGCATCGGAAACGGAGGGATAGCTTGGAAAGTTGGCAATGTCGTCGCCTGCTGAAAGTTCGACACTTCTATTGTGTCTTGCAAGAATGGGTTGTAATGATTGTTTGGTGGCATAATCATCACATTTGGTTTTGGCTGTTGCGTGTATTGTTGTGCCGACCGCGTTGCCTCAAATAACACCACCTCCCATCCTGTAGCCGAGTTGTTGTTTTTCGCTGTTACTTCCACTGACGATGATAGGGTTTCGGTCAAAACGAGCTCCCAATTCTTGGAATGATTTTGTTGTTTTTGCTCTTTTTCTTGTTGTTTATGTTGTTTATCACTCTCCTCTTGTTCGGACCACTCCCACAACGACATGAGGTCGGCCATCGAGTTTGAGATCGGGAGTGAGTGGGTCGAGCCTGTCTCGCTCATTGGCTCAAACGTGTCGTCCTGCCTCGGGCCTGCGTAGGCCTCAAGGTCGATCGAGATTGCAGGGCACGTCCTGGTATCAGACGCGTTGATCAAGTCCTCCAACGACGTCGTGCACTGAGGGCTTGCTTCGGGGCCCACATTGTTCTCTGGTAACCCCTTTCCTATTGGGTTGTCCCGGGACGGGCCTGAAGACCTAAGAGGGAACGAGCTCTGGTCCTTGAGGAACTCCTGCAGGGCGTCGACTAGCTCCTCAGAGATAGTCTCCACGCTCGGATACTCGGAGCTCCGCCCGACCCCAATGCTCTTGCACACAGTGTAGAACTCGCTTAGCTCCCGGAACTGCCTGACGGCCCGCGTGCACGCCTGGAAGGCCCCCACACAGTTCTGAAATTGCAGGTGGAAGAAGTTGTCAAGCACGAGCTTCAGCCCGTCCGAGACGTCCCTATACAAGTCGAAGCTCTCCCGCACGACCACGTACAACGCGGCCTGAACCAGGCGGTTCGATCGGGCTGGGCCCGTCGGCCGCGTCCCCACTGCCCGATCGAGCAGTCGCTGCCAGCACGCGATCTGGTCGAGCAGGGCCGCAGGCTTCATATCACGGGCAGCGGGTGTTGGGCCTTCGGTTCGGCGCCCGCGGGTCGGGCTCGACCGACGTTGGAGCTTCCCCGTGAGGAAGCACTCGAGGCGCTCGTCGAGGTAGAGTGCGTAGGTGCGAACGAAGGCGGTGAAGTCCCATGGGCTTAAGGAGTTGGAGGCGTCACGGAAGGAGGAGAGGTTGAGGATGCGGGCCCCACAGCGCGTGGCAAGGAGGACCTCTCGGGGGAAGTAGGGGTCTCCGTCTTGGAAGACGCGGAGGACGAGGACGAGAGACTTGAGGGCGACGACCCAATTGCGGGTGCGGGAGATACGACGTGCGACAACACGAGCGCAGGCGGCAGCGTAGAATTTGTTGGACGAGACAAGGCGGAGGACGTCGTCGATCGAGCCGTGGTCAATCGGGAGGCTGTCCTCGTTGTGGGTGGTGGCACGGAGGATGGCCACCTCTAGTGACGTGTAGGGGGTGCCGGAGACCTTGGCGAGGCCGATGCTGGCCGAGTCCTTGACGGCCCCAAGGGCTTTCAAGAACTTGCTTGGCATGGTTGTCAAATTTGTTAATATGAAAATAACAATTGGTTTGATATATAAAATATTTTTTTAAAAAAGAAAATAAAAAAAAAAAAAAAAA